CCGGACGGACCGCGGCCGGCCGGAACCGCCGGCCGGACGGTTCAACAGGTTTTCAAAAAATTTTTTAAAAATAGTTCGGCTCAAAAAAAAAAAAAAAATTACCTTGTTGGAGAAGAATCCTTTGCCGAGGCCGTAGAATTTTTTCGACATTTTTTTCGGATTTTTTTTTATGCTCGAATCGTTCGTTGAAGTTCGGAAAATTTAGAGAGATAAAGTTTAGAGAGATGAAATCCAAAAAAGGGTTAAGGGCAAAAGAGTAAATGGGGGGGCGGTGAATAGCGATTGAGTTTAGATACTTCTAACGTCATGTTTTGATTTTTAAATTTTGTAATTGTTATTTGAAAAGTAAGTGCAGTCCATTTAAACTACATCATGATCCAAATTCATCACCGTTGCTTCATGTACATTTATAAGTTACTTTTGGAAAAGGATTTTATTTTTATTTAATACACTTTTCAGCTATAGAATCAAAAACTACTCTACCACCTATCAAATACACTTGCAACATATTGGTCGGGTGCTAGGCGGCTGCGGGCCATGACTGATCTAATGCTGTGACCAAGGTGGTGGTTGTTAATTAGCTGTTAATTGTGATTCTATATGTAATGCATACATTGATAAAGATCCAATTGCAAGATGAGTTATGGTCCACATATACTTTGCAATTTGCGTCATAGTTTTGTATTATGTTTTGGAGAGTTCAAATATAAGTTTGCATCACGATCTTAAGCTACACATAATCTTGGCAAAATAAACATCAAGTTTAGATTACGAACTTTGAAAGACCATTCTCTCTCGCTCTTGACCCTTTTTCGCTTACTATCAACATAAAGAGATGGTTGGAAAAAATTCTATTGTTTGGCTAAATAATAAAATCCAACCAACAGGGGTTGGCTCAAGTGGTAAGCAGCTTGATGTCCCTTAAGCAAAGTCTCAGCTTCGAGTCCTTGTGGATGCAGAAAACCTTTATTGGGAGACTCCCTCACCACTGCCAGGTGTGCGACCCGGGTCTATCAACGAATTAGTCGGGGCATAACTTCAGATATCGTGGCTGGCTACAAAAATAAAAATAAAAATAATAAAATCCAATAATTCATTAATTGGTTAAAATAGTTACACAAATAAATTCATACATGTTAGGGATATATTTTCATTTGAATTTTGACTGTAAAATCTCACCCCAACTTGGCAACAAGAAAGCGCCATAACATATTAATTATACGGATATATCAAATAGGATACCCTAATTCAGATTTGTGTAGCCGTCCCTACCTTTTAATGCATCTGTCCTTCCGTGGTGCTGACCTTTCGCCTGGACTCTTCTCCGACCAGGATCTGACTTCTTTTGTGGTTCTTGCTATTGTTGTATATTTTTCTTATTTGTTTGTTTGTCTTGATATATTTTGGACATTGGACTTGCAGAGTATAAGTTTTCAGTCCATCTATAGCCTTTTTTATATGCAGGTTAGGGGTCCGCTCCGGCCTAATTAACTCCCCACCCTTCTGGGGTGCTGTTCTAAAAAAAACACATATTAATTATAAATTACTCTTTTATCTCATACGTTTTTTTAAGTTACTTTCCGAAAATTTTTATTAAAAAAAAAACATATTAATTCTAAATTCACTTCTTTTAACTCGTGGATGCCGACAATAACATAGTACAATCAAGCGAAAATTGAAAATGCTTTCGAGTATAGTCACACTCCACGCTCGTGTATGCCATAGATGAATGTAAGCAAATTACGTCACACATACATTGTATCTAGACACTGCTAACATATTGGGAAATCATAAGTACGTTGTATTTGGACATGCGGAAATACTAATAATTACTTTATAGTTTCTATTGGGGAAAATCTGATAAATGGTGCTATTTCTTTATTCAAACACGGTGTTATTTTGAGCATTTTCAGTGTATTCTTTTAAAAGAAATAAAAGCTATCCGTATCATCCCGTTTAAAAGGTTATTTGTATTTCATGGTATGGGTCATGTTATGGTGCTGTGGAATAAATAACCATCTAAAGTCTAAACCGTTGATCTAAATTTCAGATACGGCTGTTAATGTCACGAATAAAAGCTCATTCAAGTTCGTGTATGTTTGACAACAATTCGTTCGTTTATTAATAAAGTTGAGTTAGAAAAAAAANTGTTAATCAAACATATTTTAAAAAGTTTGTGTCCTAGATTATTCGAACTCGAATATTGACAAACAATTAAACGAACTAACTCGAACACAATGTTTTGCTCGAAAAATAAACGAACGAACAACATTACTTCCAAATATCTTAAAGTGTGTTAAGCAGACTCATTAAGCAAAAATTTTTTTTTTAATTTTTATTTTTATTTTTTTACGTAACTGTATATGCTTCGATGATTTATATGTTTTTTTAAAATAATTCTCAAATCTGATACCATTTTTTATACAAACTAATACGTAGCCCGTGCGACGGAATAAATATGTTAAATAACCAAGTTACATAAGACCTGCACATTTATCCCAACAATAATAATATTAGATCGTTTATTTTCCACCTAGTTTTCATAAGTGACTTTTTTCAAGGCCGTTAAATCTAAGCATGTTAGGACTAACTTGTAAGTTAATCAGCTTATTACCCACTAACCCATTTATATAATAGAAATAACATTTAAATCATAAACTTTATTTCTTTATTTAGGAAATTAAAAATAATAGTTTTACTTATTTTTGTTCACCATATAATAATCAACTATTGTTTTAATCTTAAATTGGTGTCATATAATGTCGTTATTCTTACTTATTAAAGTTATCGAAGTAGTCTTTATATATATATATATATTTAATGTATATAATATATTTATTAATAGAACTAATTTAAAGTCATATACACAAATTTAAAACAAATTAATGTGTAATTTTTTTAGAATTTATTGTATCTCATAAAAAATAGAAAAACAAAAATAATTCCATATATATATATATGACATGTCATCAATAATAACTCATTGTTTAAAAAAAAAACAAAGACAACCTATTGGCCACACTGAGTAGCATAACACAAGTTTATTTATATTAGTTAGCCAAATAATTCAATCAATCGGCCTAAAGATTTCATTCATTATGCATTGGAATTTAATTTTTTCGTAGCAGTTAAACATCTTTGATTGAACAATTGCCAAGAAATAAATCCTTCTATAGTCGTGGATTTTCCTTTCATTTTACAGTTTTATAGTTATTTACCATATTATTCAATGAAAATTTTATTTACATTGATTTTATGAAAGAAAAATATGTAGCCTAAACAATTTTGATAATTTGTTGAGCAATCATGAAATATATCAATTTACATAACTATAGGCGTTATATTTGAAAGATATCAAAAACTAATACAATATTAAATTACCATACAACCATATTTAATTATCATATCATTAACATGTGTTTTAAGGTTATTTATGAAATTAAAAATAAAAATTAACAAGTTGACCAGAAAAAAAATAATTTAAGAAAAATAAATTTTATTATTAATTACATCTCTTAATAATAAATCTACGGGTCATTTGCCGAATTGCTATGTTTATTAAATTACAAGAAATCAAAATATTTATAATTTGTACTGATATAAATTATGATAAATCAATATCATGTAATTAAGTTAAAAGTTTAGAAAAATAAATTAATATATTTATAATATATATTGTTACAAATTATTATTGTAATCCAACGGATCATTGTCGAATATTGTACACTTCTATTTCCTCACGGGCACTAAAATATTATGAATATACTATGTAACAAATATATTTATGTAAAAATAAATGAAATATATATAATATCTAAAATAAAGATTATTTTAAATAAAATAAAATAAATCCCTCTTAATATAATAATTAATAGGTCATCCCTTACGTCACACAAAAACAATTTTTTTCTTACAAAAAAAATATCTCAATTATCAATTTATCATAATCTCGAAAGGGGTTTTGCAATGCTCCTCGAAAATCGTCTTTTCCGCACAATCGAGAAACTTTGGTTGACTTTTACAGTAAATTATTTCAAGCTTTTCTCTGTCAAATTCACCACAAACATTCACCACCTTTATTATACTCCCCTGCCGGCGGCCCCGCTTTTCTAAATTATTTTTATTTTCCTCATGAAATTACCTTTCCGTATAATTATTCTCCACCCATTTGCATTTTTCAATTTCGCAGATTCTCCCGGTTTATCGATTGGGGTTTTCTTCTTTGAGCAGTCGTGAAATTTTCTTTGATTTGATGGCTGTCATGGAGGATGTAGGGATTGATGCCAGGTCTGATTCCTCTGTTTAAATTCTCCATCATTTTAATTTTTAGGGTTTCTGAATTCTTGTTATTTTATCTCTATTTTCATCGATTATGGACAAGGGTTCCTGCTTTTTAGGCCCATCTTCGAGANAGATTATCATGGTCTTTTACTTTTAGTATGCTGGTGAGCCTGAATAGAGGGTCTTCTTATTTCATTATTGGTGCGGTGTAATGATCCTCCCGATGAGGGCTGATTTATTTTTCCCCGGAATTTGATAGATTATATCAAGTTTGGTTTTGTGCATTCACTGGATTTTTTTATCGGTTGTGAACCAATTTATAATGATTAAGAATTTGTAATGAAAATTGAAACATGATGTGTATCTACTTTTTCTTGATTCAAATTTGATGGATTGGTTCTATTTTATTGCATTGACATTTCTGTGTAGAAAGAAATCATTGCTCACTTCAATTTGTGCATATATTTATTGGTAAAAATATGTATCCGAAATCTTGAAAATCAATAGTAATTAGTCTGTGCCCGACAGCTCGGACATTGATGTGGATGACTTGAGAGTCGACCCAAACATAGACGAAAAGGATGTTAGCGATGAAGAAATTGACCCAGACGAGCTTGAAAAGCGTATGTGGAAGGATAGCATCAAACTCAAACGGATCAAAGAACGGCAAAAGCTCGCATTACAGCAAAAGCAGAAAAGCAATTCCACCTCAGACCAAGCCAGGCGGAAGAAGATGGCCCGAGCCCAAGACGGCATCCTCAAGTACATGCTTAAGCTCATGGAGGTCTGCAAGGCCCGTGGGTTTGTCTACGGCATCATCCCTGAGAAGGGAAAGCCCGTAAGCGGCTCATCTGACAACATTCGGGCCTGGTGGAAGGAGAAAGTGAAATTCGACAAAAATGGGCCTGCGGCCATCACTAAGTACGAAGAGGCTGAGTACTGCTTGATCGAGAACGGGCTTGGGGCCCAAGGTGGAAGCCCGCAAAGCGTGCTGCAGGACTTGCAGGATGCAACATTGGGTTCTCTTCTTTCTTCATTGATGCAGCACTGTAACCCACCTCAACGTAAGTATCCGCTTGAAAAGGGTGTGGGCCCACCCTGGTGGCCCAATGGGAACGAGGAATGGTGGGCCAAATTGGGCCTGCCCAAGGGACAGAGTCCTCCGTACAAGAAGCCACATGATCTGAAGAAGATGTGGAAAGTCGGGGTTTTGACCGCTGTTATAAAACATATGTCGCCTGATATAGCGAAAATAAGGAGATTAGTTAGGCAGTCGAAGTGTTTGCAGGACAAGATGACGGCTAAGGAGACGTCTATATGGTTAGGTGTTCTGAGCAGGGAGGAGGCTCTTTTTCGACAGCCGAGCAGCGAAAATGGCTCGTCTGGGGTTAGCGAGTTGCCTTTGAAAAAACGAGATAAGAAGAAAATATGTGCTGATAGCGATAGCAGCGATTATGATGTTGATGGGTTGGGAGACGGGCTCAGGTCCGTTTCGTCTAAAGATGATAGGAAGAATAAGTGTGTTGATATTGTACCAGTGGAGCCTGCCATTGATGTTACTCGTCAGCTTGTCGAAAAAGACAAAGGAGGAGAGCATTCAATCGAGCGGCCTCGAAAAAGAAAGTGCTTGAAGCCGAGCTCCAATAACCTACCGCCTTTACCGTCTCCTGTGGAAGATCAACAAAATGATCCTACACAAACTGTCGTGAGTGAAAACCAAAATGACATGCAATTGGCGGAACATTTGACAAACGAGAGCCAAATAATGGAGATAAGGTCCCAGGGAAACAATGCTCAGAGCCAACCGTGCTTAGTTGAACCTGATCTTAACTTTTTTCGCTCACCTAGTCCGATAATCCCATTTGACAATATTTCCCTCAATAATGAACCATTAAATTACCCGGCAGTTCAATCTGTTGTCAAATCGTCTAGTTCTCAAATTCCTGTATTGCATCATCAACTTCAAGATCATGTTTTGGCTAATGGGCCTCCAAACTCTGTATGGCCACAAGGACCTCAAGATTCTACTTTATCTCATGGTCAAAATACCGGGCTGCAAAGTGGATCACCGTATCCCTATGACTTTTACAGTCCGCCGGCTGCAGGTGGGCTGGGCCATCAAGGACAACAGTCAGGAGCCATGTTCAATGAAGTGCAGTTTGAACCACTGGATTTGGGATTTCAGTCACCTGTGTTATCAGTAAATGGAAATGATATTCCTGTGGGAAATCATTTCCCGCATCAGGTGCAAGAAGGGTTCCCACATGAGCCGGATAGACTGGTCAAGACTGAGTTGCCAGGAAAGAGTCTTTCATTTGATGGCACAAGCTCGTTGGATTTTGGGGACTTTGATTTTATGTTGAATGATAACTCAATCGATGCGCTTATGGAGTACTTTGCCTCATGAGCTGCTTAATGTTTGCTGCTTCATTTTTTGCATGTGAGTAATTTCACTCATAATAAGTACTACATATAATAAAAACTAACCCTTAGCCCTCAATTTTATAAATTTTAATGCCCATGATTATTTACGGTGCTACCTTTGACAGCATATGATGCTATTTTCCACGGTGACCCTACTACATGAGTAGGGATGCTATTTCTAAAGTTAATTCACTGGTTAAAAATGGCATCATATATGTTCTTATGGTTCTTACGCTAGGATCTTGTTATTAGAATTGCACACAAATCCTATATACCTATGTCTGTTTCTTCTAACTTTTCTTTCATGCCTATTTTGTTTGTAGTGGACAGGGAAAAGAGGTATGTCTGAAGGAGGACGATTCATTTATTGTCATCTGAATGCTTTGACCAGTTTTGCTTATTTATGGATTTTTTCATGTGGGCCTGTGGGCAACCGAGCTTTCGTTTGTTGGTCGGTAATACATTTTTTTTTTTTTTTTTTTCNTCTTCTTAAAAGTTGTTTTAGTGTTGATTCTTATAGTGCGGATAAATTAATGAATGCATAACAGAGTCTGCTATGTATTGATGGTGAAGGATAATGATCCTGGATTAGTTCCTTAATGATTGTAGAACAGAGTCTGCTGTATATTGATGGTGTAGGATAATGATCTCGGGTTTGTTTCATTAAGGACCACCAGATGAATCTCAGTTGATATTCATTGTTTTCCAAAGAAGTTGATTTAGCTTGTCTGAAATGCTTGATTATTGATTGTCTGGATAGCTCGCTAAATGCTATGACAAGATGATTATTCTATTGGCAACATCTTAAATAGTTGTAATTATCTTTTTTACCATCAATCATCAGCAAAACAGGATTTTGAAGGTTCACATCAAGGAATTTATTGGAAAAGGCCGAGCTCTACATAGATAAGGCATTGTTGAAGCATTAGACGATACTCAGTAACTGGGGAGCTGGCGAATGGAAGAAGGAATCTCATACTTTAGAGTTCAACGAGTAACATGGTTAAATTTGACATAATGAACACAAAATATTCATGTGTGCATGTTTTGCGAGTACGTTTATGTCAATGACTCAATATACACAAAATTAATAAATTAGATACCTTAGATACACCACTAATTTTGGATACGGAAATGCTGTGGGGTGCTTTGAGAGATGAGGATAAATGTGAGGGGTCGAGGGGAGAATTGATTAGTTCTACTTTATTGAGGAAGTGGAGAAGGCGGGTCTTTTTATCAAAAATTATATGATGAGGCTCTCTTTTCAGATTAAATAATCAAAACTTTAATGGGAGAAAATCAACGAAAGTTGCAACAAACGTCTTATAATCACCTGAATTTAATTCAACCGGATAATTACCTATGGATCTTGTGCATTTACAGTTAGTTCACAGAAGAAAAAAGATCACATAAATTGCAGTGGCAAAGTTACCTAGGAAGATACTTGCTTACAATCCAAAGGAACACATCATTATTTGTGAAACTACTCTATTGTCTCGATTTAGAAGAACTGCCCTACAGCAAGTACATATTAGGAATGTGTCTACCCAAAATGTTCAACAACTTAGTTTCGAACCAAAATATGAGAGACGAATTAGAGGGGGACAGATTACACACTAAAAAAAAAAAAATTAGGTATCTGATGAGTTCCCTTCATGGCTCCACCAAAAGCTAACCGAAAAACTAGGAGTGAGAGACCTCACATAATGCCACCACTTTGGAGGGATGTATAGCATTTCACCTTCCTCTAGTATGCAATCCACAAACTCCAAGTCCAATATTCTTGGAAACTCTTTCTCGTCTATGTTATCTAGATCAACCTTCATTTCCGAAAAAAAAGTAAAAAAATAAAAAAAATTAAAAAATAAAAATAAAAATAAAAATAAATGGTAAAGAAGCAGTTTGTTTAATTTTCATTTAATCAAGTTTCTCTAAATCACTTGGATCCTTTCATCCCGTCAGAGAACGACGACAGTAGTTTGTTTAGTTATAACTTGTTATGTTCCATCTATAGATGTCAAAGGTTTGGTAAGGATTGGCCCTCACAATAGCACGATATCTCTTCATAAATCTAGTGCAAGGGCCAAGATAGATACCTGACTGGAATTGCTTAGCATCGACTCAGCATGAGGGTAGACCTCGTCTGACAATGAAGCAGGATAAAGCCTAATGTACTTTTTGCCCACAACCTGAAGATATGGATGCCACAAATATCATCCAAAACAACAGGTGCAAATTGAGAAAGAAGTTGCACTAAATAACTTAGTATACTATAAAAAAATTATTAATGCAACTCGGCAAACAATATGGTCTCTCCTAAATCTACCTGAGCAAGGATATTATGATGAGGATCGTGATGCAATGGGGTAACTGTTCCAGATGGACCAAACCAGGCATTAATCGACCTCATATCCCCACCACCAGCAAAACAGTAGTCAGGTGTAACAATATCCCGCTTTAGTTCTTGTATCTGCGCACATTCAGAATCAGGCAGCTGTTAAGAAAATAAAAACTATTGCGCCGTAAAATGGCACAAAATAATACGGTTTATTTAAGTAGAGCAGCGTGCCTGATCGAACAGTTGGTGCTGGGCTAAATATGTCGTGTTTGCAGATGAAGAGTCGCCTGCATGAATCCTCTCTAGAAACTCAGAGAAAGTGATTAGCTCTTGCTTCCAATCTTGGGATAGATAGTTTTTTCCAACCTGTGTAAATTCACAAATAGGAAAACAGAAGAGAAGTGGATGCTGGACATCTCTTATAGGAAGCATATGTCTTTCCATCTATATTATTTTCCTTAAACGAAGTATTTAAAAGAATATGATACCAAGACTAAAAAAGAACAGTAATTGAGAATGTTGGTGCGTGAACATAAACGAGATGACCAAGTCTAGTAATAAAGCAGATAAATGAGCATGAAACTTCAAAGTGTACTAATTGAACTAAAAATGAATACCTCAACTGGAACTGTACGAAAGCCTGCAACATTTTTAAGGTAATTCATGTCACTCCATCTACTCTTGGCTGGCCAATAATTCATAGAGTCACTAATTATCACTGGGGAACCGGGAATAAAATGATCCAGCATGAATCCTTCCAAAGACAGACCACGTCTTTTCCGCACTGTCTCAGAGGAAAGCGACTTCACAGGTAACAACTTAACCACCTGTGTGTTGAAATTCAAAATAAATGAGACGAATATCTGGATTCCATTCAAGATGTAAAATCGAGATAAAAGCAAATAGAATGGTGGTTTCACCGCAGCATAATTATCCTACTCGCAAACACTTTGGTAATTTTATTAACTCTTAATTATAGGTGGGTTTCCATAACTTAAACTCTCTACGTCATCAGCTTCATTGTCATATTGGAAAGAAACCTATTAACCATCCAGTTGGCCAAGAAAGAGATCTTTTACTTACTAGTGACTGGTCAAGTTCTTTCATCTTGCCCAGAATATCCAACAGCTCCAGAAAGGAGACTACTTTTTCAAAACTTTTGGTAAAGTAGAACGTGCTGCTATCCTTTTTTATTAAAAAAATTCAATCCTTTTTATTAGAAACAAACATTGAAAAGAATCATAACTTTACCTTTTTCATAAATTAATATGAAGCATATTCCAACAAGTCATCCAAATTTATTTTCCACCATTACAGGTGAGAAACAGGAAAGGGATTGAAGATCGTCAGTAGAATTCTTTTGCTTTTTAAAGTACTTCTCACACTAATTTCATTTTAGTAAAATGCATATTCCGAAAGCGTTCGAAGGTTTACGAAATGTAACCGGTTATTTCCGTACGAAAAGTGAATAATCATTAGTCAATGTAGAAACAACATACATGCACCAAAAAAAAAAAAATAATAAATATGAAAGAACGAAAAGAAAACATGGGGTAGAATCGGCAACAAGGGTACTGTTAGAGACAGTAACTTATGCAGTCGGTCAATTAGACTCAAGCCGACTGGCAAGGATATTTATGAAGAATCAGAGTGCCCTTTGAAAATGCGACTATTCCCCAAGAAAACAATCTGCCACATTTACATAAAATTCGAGCACCCGACAAAAAATCTTAGAATTCTCCCTCAGTTGTTTCCTACGGAAGTTCTATCTTTTCTCAAGTATTATGCTTTATGAGTGATCACAGAGAGTTCTAGGCAATCACTATATGTTAGGACAAGGGAAATTATAATTTTAGTTGATGGTTCCAAAATTGAAGATACAAAGCAGAATACTAGTCATTTATCAGCACCCATTTTGTAAAACCTACACAACTTCTCAAAGAAAAATAAAGGAACACGTACGCTTGAGCAGCGCAATCCGCATCAAATGGTTGTACTCCATCTTTCAGAAGGCGTACTCTTCTCTCAAAGGAATAACAAAAATCAACAATTGATGAATTTCTACAGATTCAGAGTTTACCGGGAAGCAAGAGAAAGAGAAAACAAACCTCACCTCTGCCAAGTTGAAATCCCTATACCACTCACCCTTCTGCAACCCTCCGCCATTATCACTAAGCTCCTTTCTCCTCAACACAGCACTGACCTTCCCAATGCACGAATTCAAGTCGTCTCTGAGGGTCAATCCGCCCATGATGAGGCCCAAATCGAGCGACTTGAGGGCTAGCGTCAGCTCCCCGGACGAATAATGGTGCTTGGCCACGTGGAGGCAGGCCATTGCGTAGGCGTCCCTCCAAATTGGGACGACTGAGTTCCAGGGGCCGGAATGGAGTTGCTCCCAGGCCATCTCCCGGGCGGCCTCCGCCGCGCGGGTGTCGCCGGCGGCCGCCCGAGCGACCATGGAGGCGAAGGCGTAGCCGCCCTCTTCTGCTATTCGCTGCAGGAGGGAGGAGAATTCTGAATCGAGGATTGGGGTTTGGAGAGTGGTGTCGGAGGTGGCGGTGGACATGGGTAGCGGTCGGCGTCTAGAAAGTTCCGAGACGAGAGAGAGATACTGGTGAAAGATGTTACTGTGCTTCTCTTGGGGGCTTTTTGAAGTAGAAATGTGGGTGGGGACTGCATAAGCAAATATCTTCAGATACAAAATGGCCTAAGATATTTTGGCAATTATGCCAGCGTGGAATTCAACGGTTCACATTTTATTTTGTTTTAAAAAATACGAAGTAAAAATTAACTCCTTTTATAATCAAATTGAAATTACTATATTATATTTGACAAATATTCTCAGTTTTCAAAAACTTCATTAAGGTTAGAGCTGGAGACGAACCAAATCAAGTCCATTACAAATTTTTAATACTCGAGTTTGGATTCGAGTTTTACAGGTTCTGCTTGTTAAGTTAACGAGCTCCAAGTTAGGCGCATTAATATGCTTTGATAATCAGAATTATGCTAAAAGTTTAGAAAATTACTTGAAAAGTCCTATTTAATATTAGGCTTGATAAGTCGAATTATGCTAAAAGTCTAGAAAATTACTTGAAAAGTCCTATTTAATAGTAGGATTAACGAGTCTTGTCTGGCGGGTTCAGGCCAAGTCGCGGCTGGGTGCTTCCTTTCCGCCTCTAGGAATTCTTGGGGTGGTTGGCCAGCGGCGATTTTCGCTCCTCGGTCCCTCCCTCGTCTTCGGCGAGGTCGTCGGTTACGCTTGAAAGGCCCAGCCGCTGGAGTTCGTCGGTCCGTTTGGAGGCTCGATCTGTGCGGCCATGTTCTTCTTGGAGACTAATTTTGGCTTGGGCGAGCCCAACTCGCGGCCAGTGCGCCCCTGTTCAGCCGGGCTACATGCCCTTCGGGCTGGGCAGCTAGGTTTCAGGCTGTCGTCTCCTCGATCTATCCCTTCTAGTCCTCCGACGGGTTCGTGATGGTTCTCCTTTTTTATCCCCGCGGTGAAGGTCTTCCGGACTCGGATTTGGGCCGAAAATTCGTCTAGGCGGTAGAGTGACCGCAGTTTTCGGGTTTGGAGCCTAGTTTTGGGTTTCAGTTGGTTTTCTTTGTTGGGGTGTGACTTGGTAGACGGTTCAAGTGGTTTTGGGTAGTTTCAGCTGTTAGGTTGAGGGGAGGTTTTACTGTATCTTCTTGTTTATTAGGTGTGTGTTGCTTATAATTTTTATTTTGTTGTTTTGTTTCGTTTAGTGCAGCTGTGTCTGCTTTTAGTGCAGCTTTGTCTGCTTTTCTCTCCTTTATGGAGTTTTGTTTTACGGGTGTTCGCCTCCTTGATGGAGTTTGTACCCCTTGTTTGTATCGACAAGGGGGTTGGTCCAGTTTTCTGGTTCCAGTGTGTCACTTGATACTTCGATTGTACTCGTTTTGAGTTTTTAGTTATTAATATAATTGACGTTGGAAAAAAAAAAAAGACAATGACTGTCCAAATCGAATCAAAAGAAAAGCTTTGTTGTGATAAAAGTATAGTGGGTTATGACAAGGATGGGTCCAAATCGAATCACTNTGTTAAATATTTTGTTCATTCTTGATGATGATAATATGCGTGTAATTATGAAATAAGAAAGTTACTCGACTTTGATTTATTTATTTACTTTTTATTTCTTAAGAATGCCTGCATATAATGGTATATCTCAATGGTTAAATAATATATTTGTTGAAGACTTGGAGTTGTTCAAAAAAGGAACACGTCACATATAGTGGCTCTTAATGGGATTCCACACATATTTTCCGTATTATCACTCCATTCTTACAGTAAACTATTTACAAGTTATTTATTTTCATTCGAACAGTAACGATTATATGAAGAGATGAGAATTTAGATGTGTCGAAGATGCAAAATTTACTGAATAAATAAATCACTATTTACTATGTAATAAACTAAATAAAATATAAATGCATTTAGGTATATTGCTGTTTTGGACTTGCAACAATTCGTAATTAGGCTGCGCCTATTGTGACTTGTGGGCTGCCACGTATAGCCTTCAAGCTGTTGATGTGTCAATTTCTCTTTCGTTGCCTTTAGATGCCACTAGGCCCACCATAATAACAACAAATTTAACCAACATTTTTTTTAAAAAATATCATGTTATATATATTTTGACGGATAGTGAAAGAAATAAGAATAATTGTAAAACTATTAGATCCAATATATTAATGGTCATGATGAAGTCAAAGTTATTAATTTTAGTCACACTCATTAAGGGTAATGTGGTCATTTGACACTCATTAACAGTAATTTAGTCATTTTAAATAATACATATCATGTGTGTGACCCAACCTATCACATCTCATCACTCTCACACAGTAAAACATAAATACATTCACACACACCCATAACCCACATTCTCTCTCACATATACACACACCCACACTCTCTCTCATACATATACACACACCATCATGATAAGTTGAATAATGTGCATATTTTATATATATACTTAATAGTGTGTTTTTATATACTTAATTTATTCGCACATTTATATTTTTTGACTTATTTATTATTTGAATGAAATCGTGTACTTTGATATTTTATTATCTATTTTCAGCAATTTAAGGAATATTCAGAAATGCCAACGTATAAGGTTTGTAATGTCGAATAATCAGCCCATCACAAAACCAGTCTAATATTGCCATCTCATGCCCATTTTACCCACGTGAACGTAACCCCAAAGACAGGAGCTCTTGGAGGACTTATGCTGGGGCGTGAGAATTGAGCATAATGCAAAATGGAAATATTTGTTGGAAATGGCTCGTATCTTGTGTCTTGGAGGAAAGGTTTCTCTGTAGAGGAAGAGATTGCCATCTACTTCCTAGATCCCTATAGAAACAGACATAAAAAAAAGTCCAAATAGGCACTAGCTCACGTAGGCAACGAGAGTTTTTAAGAGGATTAGAACTCATGCTTATAAGCTTCTGATTGGTTAAAAGAGAAAAGGAGAGTAGGATTTATTAGCGAGGAAAAGGAGGCGAGAGCGGAGAGAAGAAAAAAAACAGATACACACACAGAAGAAAAACGCAGACAGAAACTCACGCACGGACTGAGAGAGTACACATGCGCGGAGGGAAGCCGCACCCGCACACGAGGGAGATTTTATTCTCTCTCTTTTATCTAGTATTTATTTTATTATTATGTTACATTAGGATTTTTATCCAGTTTTAGGGGATGTTTGAACCCTAGTTTCGATTTGTCTATGAATTGGATGATCTCTATTTATAGTTAGTTAATCGAGACGTCGTATTTATATTGTCGATGAGTTGATTCATGCTATCTATGTTTAATATTTATGATTTATGGTGTTTCATCTAGTTTGGCCAACTATGTTAAATGTTCATAGTTTGATTGTTAGATTCGGGACTTTAATCCGTAATTGTTATTGTCTCGTATCGTTAATAGTAAACTAGGGGTTGTGCATCTCTAGGGTAGCGTGAACATAAGTTAAATGGTCCGAGCTTTTGCTTCCATTGCTTAGACTGATCTATTTTCCTAGAGATTAATGTTGCTAGTGAATTAAATCTAGTGAGCTTATTCTAGGTTGTCTACTAGTTAGGTTTAGTTGAAAAACGTATTTCGATTAAATACTTAGTAAGGGAAAATTCGGTTAACAGAGCTTGTTGTTAGCTAGGGTTGGTAATTCATTAGCAATTTAAAAAAGGCGTCGAAATTAATTAACGGTAGATTTAGATTGGATAATAACTGAACCGAAAACTAGACTTCTCTCATTTTATTTGATTTTTATTTTATTTTTAATTTTATAAAATTAATCCCCCCCATCTTTTATTACTTTCGTAATTTTAGTTCAGTTAATACAAAAATTGACACGATTTAATTCCCGCTCCTCGTGGGATCGACCCTTACTCACCGCTACTACTAGTTAGTAGCAAGGTTGTCAAAACCGGGCCGGACCGGCAAGTCCGACCGGTTGAACTGGGAACCGGCCAGTTCACCGGTCCGATTTTGTGGAAGAAACTCGTTGTCAACAAAACCGGTCAATGACCGGTCGAACCTGCCAAAAACAGGTTGGTTCAACCGGTCATTTTTTTTTTTCTTTGCCAATCCGGTCAAATAATTTTTATGTATCAATTCTAACACTTCTATAAAGCAACTAACCTTTTATGGTTACTGATATGAGACAAGATGTAAGAATTTCAAATTTTCAATTGTAAAAGTAAAGGACTAAAGCCACGCGTTGAAGGAATTTATTTTTCCATTTACCTGCACGTGGAAGGAATTTTTTTTCCCATATCCCATCTTTATTTCCTATTATTTTATTGCCCAATATGGGAGTGTGAGGAAATATTTCTTTTTTTTTTTCTGTATTTTTTACTATCATTTTATTGCTTAATCTATATATGGTGGGACCAACCTTTTAAAAAATAAGTCAACTATATTTAATATTTATAAAGTATTATATATTTAAAATATCAATAAATTAAATAACTTAAAAATTAAATTAACTATATCTATGAAGCTAGTATTCTACTTGTACATTTGCACAGATATAAATAAAGAATTGTGAGTTATTTGTATGCATATAATGATTAATGATTTTTCTTGCACTTTCTTGCAGGCCAAATTTACAATTAAAGAAAGTGGATTTTTTTTTTATATATCAGATTGGATGTAATGTATATTTTGGTATGTATTTTCTTTTGTAAATTATTTATTCAATATTTAGAAATTTCAAATACGTTTTTTATTTTCGAAAAGAAGTTAATTTAAATGTAACCACAACAATAACATCTAATCACTTTAAATAGTCAACACATTATATGGTCAGATGTAAGTAAATCAAAATTTTAAAATGATTTTTGTAATTTTAAAGTAATTAGTGTGTTGATTATCTAATAATTAAATGAGAGGTTAAATAAATAAAAAGTAATGATTTTTGGAGAAAAAAAATTATATTGCCACATAGGTATAATTTAATGCTCATGAGTGAGCAATTATATATATATATATATATATATATAAATATTATATTTAAAAATATCAATAAAATGAATAACGGTCCAATCGGTTCAATCACTGGTCGGACCAGTGAACCATTGAACCAGTAGCTTGATCGGTTCGATGACCGGTACGGTTTTGACAACCTTGGTTAGTAGAGGTTAGTTGAGTAAAATTATAAAGTTAAATTTTTTGTGTTGCGACGCGCGGTTACATCACATTCGCACACACACATGCACTACATCCACCCGGCCAAAACCGCAACACCAGGTCCGCTGCGCTGCCGTCCGCCACAAGCAACACCACCTTCCTCCGTCTGTCGCCGTCCACCGTCAACGATCACCTTCCCGGTACAGATCTGGCCTTCTCCAGACACCATACCCGTCTTTCTTAGCCATCGCTCGAGGCCCACCTCGTCAGTATGCTCTCGCCGAAATCAGACCAGCCACCACCGTGAGCAATCACCTCACTGGCCAAACACCACGACGTGATGGCGTACATCGGAGATCTTCATCTGGTCGAGGCGGTGGTGGCAGAGCTCGATGGCCATGATCTTGGTCGACAACATCGAGGTTAACGGAGGAGATGACAATGGAGTTGAGAGCGGGCGTCGCTGCGTCGGGCTCAGGTCCATGGCGACGCCGGCTACGACGCCGACAATGTTGCCGTGAATTTTGACCGACAATTGGAGATGGTGATGGGAGCGTGTGTTGATATGGGGGGACTTGTCTTTGAAAATTAGATGTCATTTAGGAGCATATTTGCAATTTCAGTATTTTTAGTATATTTCAATTTAGGTCATGGATTACACTTTGTAAATAACAAATCTTAATTAATATTTTAATATTTTTCATTTTTTTTATGTTGGTTGGATCTCGTTCGATTTTATGCAATCCGTTATTCAATTATGTGCAATACGTATAGTCATAATGTGCAATCGCAACACGTAAAAGATATAGATAAAAAATAGTATTATTTTTTGAATAATATATATATATAACCGATAATATTTTTTCATATAGTTCGACATGTTCGGTTATTCTGTATATTTTAAAGAACTAAATCCGACATTTAACCAACCAATATATTTGATCGATATAATTACTGTATTTTTTGTATGCGATTTTGCTATGGAGCCATCGGATGGCTCGGCTTATGAAACCATCCATAGTTTTCCGCGAATGGTGTATTGACATGTGTTCTGCAATAAATACACATTGGACACGTGTCAATACATAAAGGTATGGATGACTCCATAAAGGAGCCATCCGATGGCTCCATAGACTTTCTGGTTTTGTATGATAGCATGTTGTTTTTATAAGGTGCAACATGATATGTTAAAAAGTGCAACATATTGTTGTATAAAGTGCAATGTACTGATATATAAAGTACAATACTGAAATTTTGGTACGTTAGCATATATACATTTTTTTTTTCTTTGTGGACAAATGATATGATGGATATTAAATTATTATGTTGATCCGTTTATTAGATTTATATTGCGTAATATTTTGGCGGGAGCTATTGACATTAATTGTGGAATGTGATGACAAAGTGCAATGTGTTGTTTTATAAAGTGCAACATGTTGTTTTATAAAGTGCAACATTTCGCTCCATAAAGTGCACTAATTTATACATTCCCAAATAAATTGTGTGTATCCAAACACTAGATATAATCGTACATTATATTAACCTAAATAATTAAATATATTTTTATTTATAATTTTTATTACATAATTTATTTATCATTATAAATTACTTTTATATTATTTTAATATTTTATACCAATTTTATTTAATACTTTATTTATTATTTAACATATACGCATAACAATATATATAAAAAAATAATTTATTATTAACTTTCAATAATTAAAGATTTGACCAATGGGTAAAATTGAAATAAAAGTAATGGGTAAAATTGAGATAAAATGAAAATTATTAGAATTTCAAATATGTCCCCAGACATAACCTAATTCTCAAAAACAAATCTCAATGCCACAATCCAATTTCACCCATTTCTTCCGGCGGGACTCGGCTCAAGCAAGCACATGAGAGGACCCTCCGACGACACCGGACCTGAGGAGCTTCCCATCGACGCCGAACCTGAGGAGCCGTCCATCGACGACGATGGACATGGTGAGCTCGTCGTCGACACAGGTGCGACTCTGCATAGCTCGCGTCGGGCTCTCCTTGAGCTCTGACCTCCGACGAAGTACGCAATTCAGTAAATCGACGTGGCTGGTGGTTGGATAGGGTGGTTGCTGTGGTTGTTCACGGGCGACGGGACGTTCACGGCGGTGGCTGCAGCTGTTGTGTGGCGGCGCGACGGACGTTCACGGCGGTGGCTGCAGCTGTTGTATGGCAGCGCGACGTCTGCGGCGGTGACTGGTGGTCGGTGGCGAGGTGGGCGGTGGTCGGAGATGTATCGGTCGTGTGTGTGTGTGTGAGTATTGTATGTGTATGTCTGTGTCTGTGTGAGTATTGTGTGTGTGAGTATTTAGTTAAAATTGTGTGTGTCTGTGTGAGTATTGTGTGTGTATTGAGTTATATTCTAAGTAGCAGACTCGCACATTTCGAAATCCTACTTGGCAAATATTTGTGTTTCGTAATTTGGTTTGGATAATTATTTTAAATCATTAATTACTAGTGCAATACCCGTGTATTACATGGGTGTTTAATTAGAAAGTTTTTGTAAAAAATATTAAATTTTTTATTTTTTTAAAAACTAAAATAATTTAATTTTATATAAAACATTACTTTGGTTTTAATGAAATTGTCAAATTATAATTTTTTAATCATAATAAGTAAACACCTGTACATTAAATGAAAATGTCAACCCATGTTGAATTTGTTTACTTATATCATATAATAATATCGATATTATTTACTATTACATAAGTACAAGAATATATATCTTAAGTAAATAGAAATATTATGGTGATATGTATATGCATAAGTGTAGAATATGTTTATTTAATACTAAGCAAAATATTAATTGATAAATAATTTTATTTTCTAATTAATTTTAATAAATAATTTAATTATTATTATAAAGATAAATATAATTTATTTATTTTATATATACAATATGGATGTCAAATCGAAGCTCATCAAAAGATGATTAATTTGATATATTATATATGTAAAACCGATAAGAAATATAAAAGTTATCAACTTTTAAAATATATTTGCAATTCAATGGTTATAATAGGAAATGATATTAAAATACAATTAATACAAATATTAATTTATATCCAAACCTAACTTCAAAGCATGATTTTTTGTCAAATAAGATTCCAAAGCATGAGAATTTGCCACGTAGGCTCAATGCATTCTGAAATTATATATAGAGGAGATAAGTTCGGACATTCTATATATATTAAAAACCTAACTTAAATAATTTTATAACACTTTGACCATCCGCTGACTTTCCGAAATTTAATGTTACAGAAAAAATGAACTTTTCTCTTTACTTTCATCCCCGCCGGCTGAAAATTCCCAAATTCAAGACTTTCAGCCACCAATTTCTCCTTTTCCTTCTGTTAGATCTCATACCCACAAATACTCTTACTAAAATATCAATATACAATAGTTTTTGTTTTATGAAACTTCCATTTCCCTATGTATATATTTACAATAACTAAATTATTTTATTCTTTTTGTTCAAATTGTTTTTTCATATACCCATTAAACTACTCTATTGCAATACTTGTTTTTATATATATATAGAGAGAACGAAAGAGGATATTTTTGTATCCTCTGGTGCAAGAAATTAATCTAACATCTAACATGCCAAATTGTTAGATATTTCTATTCAATCCATCACAAGAGAGTATTCCACAAAACCACACCAAAACATATTCACATATTAAATATCCTGCAACAGAGGATCAACCCAAATTCAATATACAAATACAACTAAACAAACTTATTGTAGAGAATAATATCACACACTAGGTACAAAAAATACAAGTTTGGCTAGCACTCCACAACTTAATTAACATGACAAAGAAAACTAAAGTAAATAAGAAAAATACACTTACAATCAAACAACTGACTTATATCTACAAAGAACCTTGCACCTAAGCACCTCATCATGCACATAAAACCCAGGCATCACCATAACCTTGACCCGCCCCGGCCCATGTGGCTTCTGCTTGTCCCCAAACAAGTCCTCCATGTAACTCCCCTCAAACGGCATATTATGGTCGACCCTCAAAATGCCCAAGCCCGGATTAAACGAGAAGGCGAGCAAATGCACCAACCAAATGCACTTTGCAGCCACGAAAAACGCCTGCAGCAGCTGCTCGGGCCACGGCCTAATCCACCCGAGCATGCCAATAACCCCATTCATTTTCTGGTCGCAAAACTTACTAAACTCCTCACTATAATATTTCGTACCTTTCCTCAAAACCTCATTCCAGCTCAGATTCCTCAACGAAACAAACATTTGGAACTTGGCCACGCGTTCTTGCTGCGGGTCCAAAAGCTTCGGTGCCCCATTTTTCGTAAAAACGCAGTTCTCGAAATCTTGGTAGAGAGACTGGTTTACAAAGGCCTCCAAATGGTACAAAACGGCTTTCGAGTATTTCGAGTTTAGCGACAGCTTGTACGGCCGAAGGAGGGAGTTCAAATTATCCTTTAGCGTATAATCGTTCTCTTCAATTATCTGCTTAATCAAAGTCTTGCAGAATTGTTTTACCGATAATCTTGCTTCGGACACGACCTGCAAGAAGCCCTCGACCATGACCTCTTTACTCACCGGCAATATTTGATCATCTTCACAACTTTCACCAACCGATTTTCCACTATTTCCCGGCATTTGAGGACAATTCTTGACTTGCCTCAAGACCTTTTTCAGTTCTTCGCAATAAGTCTCCAAATACTCCAATTTCTGACTAAGCTCGCCGACCGACGATTTCATTTCCAAAACCTCGTTTAATGCGGCGTTTTTATCCTCGTTCGCTCTCGCCAGCTCGTGTCTTAACGAATCGATCGATAAGACCCCAAAATCCTCCGGCCGAGAATTTGTGATTTGCGAATTCTCGTTCTTGTTCTTCTTCTTGAGGCCTCTCGGGAAAAGCCACGAAAGGCCAACGAGGCCTTTGGTTTTGGAATGCGAGTGGAGGGAGGAGTGGGAGTCGGTTAAGGGAACGACGATGTTGGATTTCTTGCTGTTTTTTGCATCTCCTAAGCTGTTTCGCCTCGACTTGGTGGAGTCGGGTACCGGGGAGGAGGCTCCGAGGGCAAAACCGGAAATGGAATTTTGGTCCGTTAGTCCTTTTCTTGAGGATGTGTTGGCGGCGGTTCGGTAGTCGGATAGGATGGTCTCGTCGATGTTGGCCAAGTGGAAGGTGGGGTCCGTCCAGCTGTCGGCGTAGTTTCGGCTGTGGTTTTCGAGTAGTGTTTGGGGAAAGAATGATGGTGTCTCGTCTTCATAGCTCTGTTGAGAAGACACAGATTATGAATAAAGAAATAAAGTTAAGTATGGAGGAATTAAATTTTGTAGAAATTTCCAATTCAGGATGAATTCTGAAAGCAATGTGTTGATTAACTCAATAAACAAGGGAAAATAGGTTGTAATTTCATAGAAAAAGAAAAGACAAATGGTAAGTCCTAAAATTGTGTAAGTACTCGAGAGAAATCCTAACCATCACAATAAAACAAGACATTATCAAAACCTCCTAAAAATTTCTACACTTCATAACAAGAANCGAGCTTTAAGTAAAATTTGGCCGCATATTCTCAAAGGTATTTGTTGGGTGCTGGGGAACGGCGAAAAAGCTAGGTTCTGGCTTGATTCCTGGATTGATGCCAGTGGGCAGCTAGCTAGATTTGTCAACCCACAAATACATACCGTAAACATGCAGGCGAAGGTGGCCGAGCTTGTGGATGTTAATGGTGGCTGGAACTGGACATGTATGCATGGCATCCTCCCATCCTCTGTCATTCTCCGGATAGCAGGAACCCTACCCCCACGAGCGGAAGCGGGTGAAGATCGTATTATTTGGGGATTTTCTGAAGATGGTAGATTTTCTACAAAAACGGCGTATCGAGCTTTAGTGCAAAGCGATCGAGACCATGACCGACCCCTATGGAGGCTTATTTGGCGAGCGTCTGGCCCTCAACGAGCTCGAGCTCTTTTGTGGCTTGTCGCCAAAGAACGGTTACTTACTAATGTTGAGCGGCTGCGGAGGCACCTATCAATTTCGGAGACATGCGACCTCTGTGGGGAACCGGAGTCGGTACTCCACGTTGTACGTGATTGCCCGAATGTCAAAGAGCTTTGGGATAAATTGCTACCAGCTGGCCAGGCCATACATTTCTTCCAGCAGCCCGTCAAAAAATGGATCCATACAAATTTAATGCAGCAGCGGATAGAGTCCTGTGCAAACTGGTGCTGCGTGTTCGCTATAACAGTATGGCGCTCGTGGAAGTAGCGAAATGAGCGGATATTTAAACACATAAGCCAGAGTAGCGAGGCTAGGAGATTGGAGGTGGTGCGATTAGCGGACAACTACGCCCGTGCGATAGCAGACTATATGCGGGTCGGAGCGCCCATTCACGTCTCACGCATGATATGTTGGAATTCGCCCGAAGAAGGGTGGGTAAAGGTTAACTCCAAAGCCGGTCCTACATATTATTAGGCCCTGGGCTTAATATAAAAATAATGCCCTCAGAATTTTGTTTTTTTTTTTTTTCTTTAAGAAATAAAATAATACATTTTAAATCCAACATTCTTTTTATAAAATAAATTTACAATTTATAAAATCTATGGTTAAAGGAAATGGATACGTATATTTTAATTTATAATAATAGTGATCTAACACTAGTATTTAAGAAAATGATAAGTATTAAACACAAATGACAAATCTAAATTACAGCAAAAACAATATCTAGTATTTATACAATACTTTTCAAAGCTATATAATAAACAAATTTCCTAACCAAGGATCAAAAACCCAAAACACATAACGAATAATAAAGTTTCTTGTGTGCCACTAACCTTCCTATATATGAAATCACAAACTAATTTTACCAAAAAATAAAAATAAATTAAAATTTTCATCAACATGGAAGCAAAAATCCAAATCTCAAACACCCCATCTCCGTACCTTTTTCCAAGAATAACACCAATAAGCAGATGAAATAGAGAAAACAAAAAGTGGAATTGAATCTGAATATGAAAAACAAAGATTCAAAAGACCATTTATAATCTATAAAATTAATTAACTTCACCCGTTGGAATTTTGGAATGAGAGAGATATGCGGATATGGGACGGTGAGAAGTCGGAGAGCAAGATCGAGACTAAGAGTACCTCCAATGGTGCGCCAAAATTGTGATTTCGCTGGAGTTGTGTCCCTATTTTTTCTCCAGTGCTGCGCTGTAAATTTGCGCTACTACACATATGTGAATAGTATATCTCCACATGTGGAGATGTACTGTAGTTCACCGCTAGACATTTGCTTTTGTTTTTTTTTTTTTTCATATTATTGATAATTCTTTATATAATATAGTAAATGTATTTTGAATGTTAAATTTTGTATAATATGTATTAGTAAATGTATTTTGAATGTTAAATAATTTGGTGGTTTTATTTATAGATGTATTTTAGTTTATTTTTGTAAATTTTAATAGTTCCACATGAAAAAAAAATTAGCACAATAAAACAAAAGATTTATAGTATTATATAATTTGTATTTATGAAGCAAAGATTTGTAGTATTATATAATTTGTATTTATGAAGCAGTCTAGTCTCGTGTTGTTACACATAAACATATTTTTATTATTTGGTACCAAATATATATATATATATATATATTATAACTTATTTGAAATAAAAAATGAATAAAAAATTAACATATTTGATGTAGAGCAAAATGTAGAGATGAGGACGGGAGACGAAACTTGATTTTTGTTTCACTCTACTCTAGAGTAGAGTAAAGTCCGCGCTAGAGTAGAGATAAGGGCTGAAGATGGCCTAACTCTTTTTTTCATCTTCACTTTTATTTCATTGGAAAAGATAAATTGAGAGATTTATACATGCAACACACCACCACTTCTTCTCTACACCTTTTCTATGCACACTACGTCTTCTTTATAAAGTACGTAACAACATGTTAATATTTTGACATTTACATCTCCAACTTTCCAACTGATATTTCATTTTCTCATTCAGTTGTAGGGAACCCTTTTAATGTGCGGATTGACGCTATATTGGGGACCAAACACAAAAAGTAAACAATATAAAACTTAATACAACATGTCTCATACAAATGATTTGCCTACATTTAGTACTACCGTTATGCTCAAAATTAACAAATTCAAAGCCTAATAGTTATATACGTAAAAGGCATAATAATAGAGTACACTTTGGGGGTACGAAAGCTGCACAAAAGCATTGGGGATTGGAGTTGTAAATTAGAAAAGGTTGAGCAAGTTTTTATTTTATATTGATTGATCAGATCTATGCAGTGTAGCTGTAGTAGTACGTCAAAAAATGGAAGTCCAGTTGGGAAAACATGATTCGAATACCAAAAAGTAATCAAGGATGTGAGTTAATAAAATCTTCTATATAAGAATTGCATGTCATGAACTTTTGATTAATAATAGAAAGAATTTCTTACTAAAGAAAATGAAAAATTCTGGTAGCAATCTGCACATGGAGAAAAGTGTCTTTGCCATTTACAAAGAAGGGCAGTTGTTCACTTTAAATTTTCGTATACAAAAATTTTATTTCAACTTTTCAAAGTTCGATACGTAAGCTATTCGCGAATACAATTTGGTTCGTTTTGTGAAAGCTATTTAAACAAGCCATCAAGCTGAGCTTGAATAATTAATCGAGTCGAGGTGAACTTGTTCGCGAACAGTTTGATTCTTTTTTAATTTTTATAGGTATATTATACAATATTATAGTAAAGTTAATTTATTCTAGTGGAAGTTCTTTAAACCCGATGACGCTGCATGGAGATTATATTATGGTAAAGTTAATTCATATGTCACTTGGCTCTAGATCAAAATCAACACCCACTTTATGGAGCTTTTTTACATTTATATAATTTTTTAATACTTGATTTGATGGCTGGATAAAAGTTTTTTGAGCTTTTTACCTGCCCCACTATTGTATATTTGTTACAACAAAAAAAATACTACTTAAAATATAGTTCTGTTATTCAAAATATAGCAACATGTGTTTTGTCATTCATACCTATTAATGTTGTCAAATAATTCATGGAAGCCTAATCAGAAGAAGGAATCTATTGTCTCTATTTTCTTTTTATTTTTTTCTCCTTTTGTTTTGGTTGCAAAATGACAAGATTTTGGTTCTTGGAAAAGCAAATAGACGAAGGCTGTCTGTCTTTCGATATTTTTAATATGGCGAATTGTCCTGTCTTAATTGTATTGTATAGTGCAAAAGTAGATTCCTGTATTTTTCATTGAACTATTGTCTCGTGAAGCTGANAATAAATTATGTGATTCTCGTAAATTCTATTTCCCCTGAAAAAATTTACCTCAAATAATGAATAAAAATTATTTGGTATCAGCTGATAAATTAATCTATGATTAAGGATTAAATTTTTTTAGATATGACATTTACTCTTAGAAACATAATTTGATAAAAAAAAAGTTCAAAATAAAAATACAACCAATTACATCTTTGCTGGGGCAATTCATATCCAAACAATGGATTTCTAGAAAAGTTATCCTTTCAAGGCCCAAGGAAAGTAGAGCCTTTAAAAAATGAGAAATTTGCCTCATTGCTGTTAAGTTGCTAAATAATATTAACAATATGAATTAGGTATCTTTTAATCATAAATACGTGATATTTATTTAATTAGAGAGAATTTTGATTAATAATGGTTTTTCCTTCCAAATTCCCAATCAAATCTCGTCACTAATCTCTCTCTCTTGACCGTACGTCGCAACCCGACAAATTAAAATTTATATTTTTCCTCAACTAACCCCTACTAACTAGTAGTAGTGACGAGTAAAAGTCGATCACACGAGGAGTGTTAATCAAATTGTGAATTTTTGTATCAAAAATTAAGAAAACAATAAAATATGGGGTGGGAGGGGGCATTGGATTTAATAACTAAATTAACTAAAAATTCCTAATGAAACAAATAAATTCTAAACAAATGAAATATAAATAAAATTAAAAAAAAATGAGAGAATTTTCTAGTTCACTGTTCACGGTCCCGTCTATGACCTTGCTCAACTAGTCTAACTAATTGTAGCGTCAAACTTCGTTATCTCAAGGAATTACTAGCCCTAGATACCAACACGCTCTGCTATAATTTTTCCTTACGGTCTCTAGATTAAATCTGATTTATTAGACATTCTAGAACATGCTCTCTAGATTTAATGCAATAGCCGTTTTAAGATATAAAAAAATAGGCTAATCTAAGTAGTAAACAATCAAGCGGTTCACTTAATTAGGCCGTGTTATCCCCGATAGTTACCATCTTTTGGTTGCTACTTACAATTAAACTCAACAACAATTGCGGATTACAAGTCCAATTCTAGCGTTAGACATAAAAAGTTATATCTAGGTGATCAATCTAAATAAAATCAAACACATCACAGTTGATCATTCAAAATAACACGCACAATTCCAAAAAGATAATAAAATTATCAACCAGGAAAATTAATCAAACATCGTCAAGTCGTACGGTTTGATTTCCCCGAAACTAAAAACAAAAATTAACCTAACATAATAAATAATAAATAATAAAAGAAAGAGAATAAAATTATTTCTTTTCGTGTACGGATGCAACCTCCCTCTGCGATTGTTCTTCTCACGTCTGTTGCTCTGTCCGCGCGGCTCCTTCTACTGCTGCGTTCTCCTTCTCGCAAATAAATAAAAATATGATGCGTGTGTAAAGTAGAAATCTTAACAAATCTCAAATGTTAAAGAGTCTCAAAATGTCACTTAAAATCCTAATTGCATACACTCCTTAATTCCTCAAGGCCTGGGTCACTCTCTTTCCAAAATAAATAAATAAGGTCTATCAAACTATTCTCTCCTGGTAATGTGAGATTCCTTTTCTTTCCAAGTGAACACAAATAAATCCTACATGTCTTCCATGATTTGGGCTCATTCATTATTTGGTCCTACACTTTAATTCAAGCAAATGAACAAAATCAACTTCTGGGCCATATTATTTTCTCTTTTCATGGGCTCATATTGGGCTGGTATGGGCGCCCTCATACTCCGTCAGCTGAAATTTTCGCATAATATCCCATCGTCTAAGAAAATACTCCAAATTTCAATAGTCTAAAAATAAACCATAAAAAAATCATAACACTCAAATTCATTTAATAAATAAATAAGTCAAAAAAACATATAAGTAGATAAAATTAATCATATAAAAATACACTAATAAATATATAAATGATATACTTTTTTCGACCAATCAACTCCTCAAACTTAAATCGTTGCTTGTCCCCAAGCAACTTATAACTATAAATACAAAGATGAACATAAACAAATATGTTGAACATTTGCTCAAAGCCTCACACTTTTCACATAAATAGGGTTAGTTCGTCCTGGGCGGGGTTTGCTTTCCTCAACTCAGGGAAAATTAACTTCGTAAAGTTTGTTTTGAGATTTGCGGGTCTCGTAACTTGTTTAGCAGCATAATTATAAATACAAAATTATACAAAAAATAATTAAAAAAAGTGTTGGATCGCGGGCCAACTAAGCTTCGACCGCTTGGACAGTAGGCCCAGGAAGCAAGCAAAATAGGCCCACAGTTAACGAGCTGGCAAGAAATAAGCCTTCCAACTCAGTTCTATAATTTTGGGGAAAAAAAAAAACTCAAGTTCTATAATTATCCATAGAGAGAGTGTAACTTATATTCGTTAATTTCAACTAACACCCAAACATTACTATTAATTATATTTAAACATTGTTACCATTCAAATGAATAGGCTGTAACTTTCCTTGAATCTTACACATTAAGGAACATTGATGACCAGGCATGAAAACCTTAATAAGATATGCTCATAAAAACTCAGATAGTATCTAATAAATTCACATGATATTAGCATATGCTCTGACATTATAATTAGATTTAACTATAAAAAAGTTTACTGTATGGATCAAGTGAGTTAATCATCTATTGTTTTTCTTTTTTATTTTTATTTTTACTTTTGGCCTAAATCTGTTACTTTAACTTTACCATTGACAATCTGAAATCAAATTCTTCATTTATATATTAATTTGTGTTGTAAAACCAGGGGCGTAGCTAGGATTCAAAACTACACGGGACTAGTTTAGTTAATGACAAGCATTGAAGGACGTCATTTTTGCTCATGTTTATTTCAATTTATTTTCTAAAAGTTGTTAATTAATATTGAATACTATTTTACTTTGTCCATCTTACAGAAAAATGAACAAGTATAAATTTCAAGTATCCAAAAAGATAGATTGATTTTTTTTAATAACATTTTCATATGTTATGTATATTGTTATTTAAATGTATATTTATCAACAAAAGAGGAGAACAAAACTTAAATTGTTACCTTTGAATAGTAGTTTTTGGTTTTCATAAACTAGGTAAAAAGATAAACATATCTTTGTGATGCAAACAAAATATATTGTTTAACCATTCATATAAATTTTTAATATATTATATCACATTATTTTACATCAAAGGGATCGACTGACTTAATCGTCATAGACGCTATCTCGAGAACTTTATTGATGTTTTTTAGGCATTCAGACAAGAACGTCAATCACTATTCAGAAATTAAAAAAGGACCGACTATCAGAATTATTTGGTACATCTCTATCAAATAATAAAACATTAGTTATAATGTGTCACGATTTATAAAGAATCAAATTTTTGATTGGGTTAAGTTAGTTTTCCAATTCTTGGTTATAAAATCCCACATAACCTTCTAGTATTATTATTTCACTTAGAAAACAAAACTTTTTTTTTTTCTTCTTTAAAAAGCACGGACAAAGTTATGGCATGCCAATTGCCAATAACTAAAGATAAATGAGATACTCGTGGGTTATGGTTGGGTACATGAAATCCCGATCGGCCATGTTTGGTACTTTACGTACAACTAATGCATGTAAACATAGGACAACGAGGACCCACGAAAATAGCGGGAAAAATAATACACGACATAATTTATTGGTGGTCAATAAGTCCGTTATAGTAAATTCGAATTTACTACTTTGCATAATTATTAATAATATTGTAATTTGCTACTAATATAATAAAATAACAACAAACAAAAAGAATAATATACCAATAAGCAAATTGATCCACCAGCAAACTAACAGTGAAGAAAATGATAAACCAGTGTGGGAGTTAATTTCTTGAAATAGGACATGACAATCATTACTCAACTGCTTTCTAGTTGGTTAGTTAACCCATCATTTCTAATGTTTTCTTCAAAATGATAAAGAAGACCACTAGTTAATATCATTATATTATAACCTGACCGATAAAGGAATAACAGAATGAATATGAATTGCTTTTAGGGAAATTTCTTGCTTTCTTATGAATTTAAATGGCGTTAGCTTAAAAACTAAATTGTAGGAAAAATAACACTTATCACAGGTGCGGGAAATGCGAACATGCGCAGTTTATAATTTCACTGTTTGGACCTAATTTGGTCAAATAATTCCTTTTCCTCCATTCGAACCAAACACAGGGTTAAGCAATAAAATCCAAGATAATGCTTAATATTACACACACAATAAATCAAGAAATAAAGTCAATTTTCCCTTAATAATATCTTGATTTCTTTCAATGAAATCCAACGAAAAATTCTAGAGTTTGTCAGATAACGTCAAACTAAAATTCTAACTAAATAACAATATCGCAACTCGCACGCCTGATGGACAAACTAAAAGTAGCCTCCGCCGGCCCCGGCGGCGTAGTGATTTGCTTCACCTCCAAAATTGGTCAAAACCTAATCAATTCCTAAAACTGCAATAAGTTCC